ACCCAACCCCTTCCTCCCCTTCTTCCCCACTTCTTGAGTTTAATTGTGATTTTTTTCCTCCTGTGGGCTTGTAGTTGTTCATCTACTAGTTTCAAATTAGTATTAAATACATGGGATACTTGCTTTTCCATTCCTGAGATACTTACTAAGGACAATGTTCTGCGACTCCATCCAGGTAAATACAAAAGAGGTGAAGTCCCCATCTTGTGTATGGGTGAATAATATTCCATGGTATACATACACCACCGTTTATTAATCCATCTGATAGGCACTTGTTTCCACATCTTTGTGATTGTGAATTGAGCTGCTATAAACATTTCAAGTGCAAATGTCCTTATGATAAAAAGATTTTTTTTTTCTCCTGGGTAGACACCTAGTAATGGGATTGTGGGATCAAATGGAAGGTCTACATTTAGCTCTTTGAAGATTCTTTCCCAGAAGGCTGCACTAGCAATCCCACAGCAGGGCTTTTGTTTACCTCCTATTTTGATGGAGAATAAGGCATAATAGCAGACAGCATTCTCTTTCTGCAGGCTACCCCTGGCCTGGAGAAGCAGTCTGCTCAGTGACTTCAGAAAATCACTTCCTACTCCGTCTAGGACTAGCAGCCTGTGTTTAATGACCTGCACTGGAAACTCAATTACAACAGGAAACACGTTTTTTCTGGGCCTCCTGAACAATAGCGTCAACCTATGAACACACAATACAAATACCAATTGAATAGGGTCAACCTTCCCTGGGCAAATCTGGGGGAGAGGAGCCAGTTAAAGACCTGTTTGATACCTTCCTTCAACTCTTCCCATAATTAGAACAGTTCACTGTCACAGACCAGCCACGACACACAGTGGGTTTACTTCCTTGTGGCCGGGGGTGCAAGGAGACAGAAGAAAATTATCAGTAGGAATTATAGATTATTAGTAGAGAGAAATAACAGACATAGACAAAGGGATAGTTTTAAGAGCAGCAGGGCTCAGGAGGCGGCACACACTTTTTCCTGAGGTTTCCACTATGCCGCCCCGAGTATCAGGCTGGCTCTGTATTTATTTTATACATCAGTGCTACAGTCATTAATTTTACGAGAGTAAGGCAAACAATCCCGCCAAGGTTCTTGCTGCACTTGCATTTCTACTAACTAGACTAACCGTACACTTGATTACGTTAATTGCAAGGATTTACTTGTTTCTTACTGCTTCAAAGTATAATGGTCTTAATGTAAACAGAGTCCTGATAAGGAAGCCAATCAGAGGCTGATTCAAGGACCAAATCCTAGCTGACCCACAGTTACACACCACAGATGTGATGTTTTAATATTCTGACAGCCCTGTGTCTAAACAGATAGACTCCGCTGGCCTAATCAAGGTGACAGAAGAAAAGGATCTTTCTTCTCCTTATCTGGTCTGGGGCAAGTCTTCCTGAGTTGGACAAAGTTTAAAGAATTTCCATCTTTAACTTTTATAAACCATTTCCTCAGAGCACACAGCCTTGCCTTGGCAGAAAGCAGCTTCAAACTCTTCTGCCAGTTGCTGCGCAGTAGCTAGGGGGTGGGGGGGTGAGGCGTGGTGATACAGCACACCACCAGGCTGCAGAAATACTAAAGTGACAGGATCTCACACTTTCTGCTCAGCGCCAGGAAAATCGACCCAAATCGAAGTCCCCATAACTCTCTCTCTTTGCCTAGACTTTATTCCCTATTCCTAATAACATTTTTAATCTACTAACAATTAATGGTTGAGTAGTAATTTTAAACTTATAAAATCATTATTACTAGCAACATAAGCACATCCAGATATGACTCTTCCCTTGGGTCTTTCCACACGCACCCTTCAGTTCACTCCAAAGTTGGGTGTGCCAGGCAATGCAGTGAGGTACAAGAAGGAAATATTAAAGTTTTGGTTTCTCCTTATTTTACTTAAAAATGAATATTCCATTCTGTTAATATTTAATGCATAAATTGATGTATGGTCTTCACCTAGACCTCAAATCAGCTGGTCACAAGTTTCTTGTGGTCCTGAGTGTCTGTCCTGGGAAGGTGCTACCAGGTTATCAACTCACTATAATACACAGCAATTTACATGTACCAGGCTAAGCGGACATGTGGATTCTCTGCTCCTAAATAGCAGAAAAGTTACAACCCAGTTAACACGCTATATTGAATGGGAAAGGACTATGAAATTCTTTTTCTTTTCTTTTCTTTTTGTGGGTTTTGTTTTTGAGACAGTCTCATTCTTTCACCCTGACCAGAGTATGGGACATCATCATAGTTCATCGCAACCTCAAATTACTGAGCTCAAACAATCGTCCTGCCTCAGCTGCCCAAGCAGTTGAGACTACATGGGTACCAACATGCTTGGCTAATTTTTTCTATTTTCAACAGATATGGGATTTCATTCTTGCTCAGGCTGGTCTTGAACTCCTAAACACGAGTGGTCCTCTCGCACCTTGGCCTCCCACAGTGCTAGCATTTAAGGCATGAGCCACCCTGCCCAGCTACATGAAATTCTTTTGACCACATAGGGCAATCTATTATTTCATGACAAAATACTTTAAAAATCTATTAAATTTGAAGATAACTTACATTTTTTTTTTCCCACAAAGATTCCAAGTTTGCTGACTTTTGCCAGGATGACAAGCAGCTGTCAGTAATATACTACCCAATAGGAACTTACAGAACAATAAAGGCACTTGCTCTGTCCTATCAAAGTAAAGGTGTTGGCTCGGCACCTGTGGCTCAAGTGGCTGAGGCGCCAGCCACATACACTTAAGGTGGCAGGTTGGAATCTAACCTGGGCCCACCGAACAACAATGACAGCTGCAACAACAACAACAAAATAGCCAGGCGTTGGGGTGGGCGCCTGTGGTCCCAGCTACTTGGGAGGCAGAGGAGGAGACTCACTTAAGCCCAGGAGTTGGAGGTTGCTGTGAGTAAAATCAATACTGAAAAAGAGCATCCTGAAAAACACCTTTAGAAATGTTTCCATCTTTTGTTGCTGAAAAGATGAAAAATATGCAACTGTAAAATACCTCATATTTGCACATTTTAAAAACATAGAAACTAAATTTTCTAACACATTTTAATATCTTCCAAAAGACTTAAAATGAGTATTGAATCCACTGGGGGGGGGGGTTGTTTGTTTTGTTTTGTTTTTGAGACATAGTCTCACTTCACTGCCCTGGGTAGAGCACCATGGAGTCATAGCTCACAACTTTAAACTCTTGGGTTCAAGAGATCCTCATGGCTCAGCCTCCTGGCTATGGACTGCAGGCACCTGCCTCAACACCTGGCTAATTTTTCTATTTTCTTTTTCTTCTTCTTCTTTTTTTTTTTAGTAGCAACGGGATCTTGCTTTTGTTTAGGCTGGTCTCAAACTCCTGAGCTCAAGCAATCCACCCACCTCTGACTTCCAGAGTGCTAGAATTACAGGCATGAGCCACTGAGCCTGGCCTGAATCTATTGTTTAAAACATTGAAATATAACACCTTCCTAAGAGGAAGCGATGACTACAACTCGAAGAGTTGAACAATTACTGGCCAAGTTTCTACTTCTAAAAGTTTTAGAATAATTGAAGAACAGAACAGAGATATGAGTACTATGATTTAGTGAACTCAGCATAGATCTGGACAGTCACCCGGATCCCCACACTTAGAAGTGCCCTCATTAGTTTAACGTTCTGCTGGAACCATCCTAAAATTTTAATAAATTTTGAACAAGATCTCTGCATTTCCATTTTGCACTGTACTCCAGCTGGTCTAGAACTCAGTAGTCAAATCATTGTTTCATTTCAACCTACATATTTTTGAGGTATCTTTTCAGCCATGGCAACCACTAAAATCAAGTATTAATATAAAATCAACTTTGATCACTGTATCGTAAGTGCTAAACTTGCCCAAAATAATTTTACATTTGTATATGGTATATTTATAAAGAGTTATACACAATCACAAAAGAGAGAAAGCAAAATTATTTGGGAGCTGGTAAAGAGAATTAAAAGTATTTTCATCAATGTTATTTTTTAAATTTCTTTCTGCGTGTTTTATAATATGCATGCGCGTAATTCATAAGTAAATAAGCCTCTATAGTACTACATGTCCCACAACGTGTCATTTATGGAAGTGCAGGATCAAAAGAGTTTCTAAAACACAACCTAGACACCCAGTGATATTCTTGCATTTTTGGAGCCCAAACTTCAAAATTACTCCCTCTTGTGGCAACACTCCCTATTCCTCCGCAGTACTTTCCAGAAGAGGGAGGCAGTCAGGGCTTAGCGTAGGGCATCTAAAGTCAGGACTGGATTCCCATTCTGCAGCCCCACCTTAGGAAGCAGGCACGTTTCTTAACCTCCGCCCGACTCGTGCGGTCGCAGCGCAGCGCCAGTGTAAGCGCCCTGCCGGCCGCAGAGTGTTGCTGGAGCAGCAGAGGCGGTGAGACTCATTCTCACAAAGCCATTTCTATCTCGGTCCACTTAAGGTCCTAGGCGCCCCAACCACTGGATGAATGGTGGGACTTAAGTCAGTAGGTTGGAGTGAATCCTTTTGGTGACATCGGAGTGATACCGCTATTAAAACTTCAAAATTCTCTCTTAAAATAAACCACAGAAAGTAACTGCTACTGACTTCTCCGAATAACGTTGGGAAGGTGAAGGGCCTGGCAGGAGCGACCCTGAAGCCTGGGCGGGATTCCTGACTTAGCCTGGATGACCGGGGGATGGAGGCGGGCAGGGCCGACAGCCGCACGCATCCCGGGACCGCAGCTTCGCACTTTCTGCTCTGCGTGCCCGGGCCTGACTCAGCCTCCGTTCAGCTCGCGTGCTGCGCCGGTGCCCGCCTCGGGCGGCGCGGTGCCAGGGCGACGCTCTGTCCCCGGGGTCGCTCGCGGGATCGCTGGCCGGCGCGGGCGGGGGCGGCCTGTAGCGCGCGCGTGGGAAAAGGGCCCAGGTGGACCAGGGTGGCAGATCCGCGCGGGGAGTCGGTGTCCCCCACCCCCGCTCTCTCCGAGGACATACCTGGATGGTGTGACCTCTGCCCGGGGCTGTGGGGCCCCCCACCAACTTGCAGTAGAGCTCCGGCCGGGGCCGCCCGCCGGGCCCGCGCTCCCCGCAGGTGGCGGTGGCCCAGATCCTCGCCGCCTGGGCCAGGTTGAAGTAGGGCGGGTGCAGGCTGAACCCGGCTGGGGGCTCCGGGTCCCTAGCGGCCGCGCACCCGTGGGGCAGCAGCAGCAGCAACAGCAGCAGAGGCGGCGGCAGCGGCGGCGAAATCAGAGGCAGGACAGGCCGCGATGCCCTGCCCCGAGCGCGCGCTGCCGCTGCCATCCCGCGGTGCAGGGTCCTCCCGCGCCGGCCGCCCGCGGAGGGGCTCGGTGGCACCGTGATCCCGGCGGCCGGCAGCCGCTCCAGGCCCGCGTGCAGCAGACCTGCAGCGCCCGGAGAGAGCGCAGCCCTGAGGTGTGGGCGGCGCTGGAGCCGCGCCCCCGGCTCCACGCGCCGGGAGCCCGCGGCGTAGGGGTGGCTTCTTTGCTCTGGAACCTGCTGCGGCGGCAGCGGGCACCGGCCGGATCAGGAACTGACAGCTCCCAGCCTCGAGCCAGCAGGCGTTGTCTCTGCGGGCGCGCTGCAAACTTCTAGGGCAGGGAAAGGAGATAGGCGTTCCCGGGCTCCCACCCAGGCCGCCGGGCAGAAATCAGATCGTCCTCCTCTCCAGATGTTCGGGGTCTCAGACCAAAGCCAGAAAAGCCAGCTCCTGATGTAAGGGGAGATAGCAAAGGAAACCGCCACTACCTGCTCTGGTTACACCCAAGACGTGGCTTCCCCAGCGTTAGCCGGTCGTTGTGCACCTATGATCTCGGTGGCCATATACTGAGCCAGGGAACTGGGAGTGGAGAAACATTGAAAAGACAGCCAAGGGTGCAAGTTACGGTTTGCCAACCGGGAAAGGTACCTTGGAGGAAATCCTTTCCTTGCCTAGTCTGCTAAATTTTACAGATTAGCTAAAGAAGGATACTCCGCCATACTGGCCTCAGGACAGAGGAGGACAAGGCTGAGGCTAGGGGGTGAACACCTCGCCAAAACAGATCCCACATAAACCCTCTAAGGGCCAGTGGTTCTCTTCCTTCCTAATACCGAGGCCCTTTAATACAGTTCCTGTGGGTGGCAACCCACAGGTTGAGAACCGCTGCAAGCAATTAGAGGAGTGCAATATTTATACTATAAAAACTGCAAAACGTCTTTGAAAGAAATTTGGAAAGACCTAAATAAACAGAAAGACATCTCATGTTCGTGGAGAGACAATATTGTGAAGATGGCACTATTCCCCAAAGCAATCTACAGATTCAACACCTGAAAATCTCAAAATCTCAGCTTACTTTTTATTTATTTATTTATTCATTTATTTATTTTTGCAGAAATTGGAAAGCTGATCCTAAAACTCATGTGGAAATGCAAGGGACCCAGTATAGACAAAACAATTCAGAGAACTCACGTTTCCTGACTTCAAAACTTAACACAAAACAATTGTAGTCAAGACAGTGTGGTACTGGCATAAAAATAAATATATAGAACAATGAAATAAAATTGACAGCCCAGATATCAAAAGCACAAACAATAACAGAAAAATACAAATTGAACCCCATTGAATTTTAAAACTTTTATGCTTTAAAAGGCACCCTCAAGACTGGGCACAGTGGCTCATGCCTATAATCCTAGCACTCTGGGAGACCCAGGTGGCTGGATAGCTTGAGATCATGAGTTTGAGACCAAGTTGAGCAAAAACGAGACCTCATCTCTACTAAAAATAGAAAAACTGAGGCAGGAGGATCGCTTGAGCCCAAGAGTTGGAGGCTGCTGTGAGCTATAATGCCACCGCACTCTACCCAGGGCGACAGCTTAAGACTCTGTCTCAAAAAAAATTTTTTTTTAAAAAGGCACCCTCAAGAAAGTGAAAGACAACCCCCCAAAATGGAAGAAAATATTTGCAAATCATGAGTCTGACAATTAAGTGCACAAACTCGCCACTGTGAGCTTACACTGGCAGCACTGTACAAACAACTCAGGCAGGTTTCATACCCTTGGTATATCAGTGTCTCACAGTTGTGTTCCTGTCAATGTGTGGTGTGTCTTGCTGAATGACATTCGTTGTTTTTGTTGTGTGTTTTTGTGTGCCATACTATGTTAGCTCTGATGGTCATTTCAGAAAAAGAGTTCCAAAATTGCTTTGAAGTGTAGACTAGGCAATGTCATCGGTGCACAGCTTCCCAAGGGGGGTACTTCAAAGGTGACGACTGCAGTGATCTGACCATGAAAATACGCTCCTATGCTCAACACCATTAGTCATCAAGGAAATGCAAACCAAAACCACAATGAGATAATGCTTTCACCCAGTAAGATAGCTATAGTCAAAAAGACAGAAAATAACAAGTATTGTTGAGGCCGTGAAAAAATTGGAAACTTCACGCATTGCTGGTAGGAATGTAAAATGGTGCAGACACGGGGGCATTTCTTCAAAAAGTTAAATATAATGTTATTATCTGACCCAGCGATTCCACACATATCCACACAAAATCCTTGCATGTGAATGTTCTTAACAGCATTATTCATAATAGTCAAAAAGTAAAAACAACCCAATGCTCACCAGCTGATGAATGGATAAATAAAATGTGGTATTTACATGCCATGGAATATCAGTCACCCATGTAAAGGAATGGAGTTCTGGCCCACGCTTACAACACGGATGAAACATTATATCATGGGAAGGAAACGAGACACAAAAGACCGTATATTGTATAGGGACTGACTGACACTGGATATGGGATTTCCTTTTGGATGGATACAAATGTCCTGAAATTAGATAGTGGGGATGGTTGTACAACTCTGTGAATACACTGAAAACCACCAAATTGTGCACTTTATGAAGTTATGATATGTAAATTGTATCTTAATAAAATTGTTATTAATTAGCTGGGCCCAGTGGCATACCCATGCCTGTAGTCCCAGCTACTCGGGTGACTGAGGCAGAAAGATGGCTTGAGCCTGGGAGTTTGAGGTTGCAGTGAGCTACGATGATGTTACGGCACTCTAGCCAGGGTGACAGAGGGAGACCTTGTCTCCAAAATAAATAAATAAATAATTATTAAAAATGTTTACAGAACTGAAATATATCTGAAATATGAAAATGTATTTGAATTTGTACGTGTGGAAGACTTAAAAGAGATTTTTTTAAGTTATACAATAGGATTTTCAAGTGGAAAGATGGGATGATGAAAAGGAGTTTTTTTGTTTAATTTTCTCTTCTTTCTGCTTGTCTACATCTTTTAACCTTTCCGGTAATGAATGTAGATTGCTTTCATCAGAATAAGAAATTTCAAAATACTCTGATAAGTCAGCAGGATGAGTGCCCAGCGCTGCCTAGAATAGTCCTGTCCAGGTGACACATCCTCCCTAGACTGATGAAAGAAGATGGAGAAAAAGTAAGAAATATTTTGCATACTTTTAAAAGTCCTTTCAGACACAAGGGTTTTTTGAAAGAAAACATTCAACAAATGGCTAAGATTCCAAAACTATTTTACTCCTATGCAAAAGTGAAAGCAAAGGCTAAATTTTAAAAGCGGCTCTCTGCCCAGGCCAGTCACTCTCCACACTGCCAGACCATGTCACTGAGATGTCCTGATGACAAAGCCTCAGCAGCCCCTACAACCATCCCTGGATTCAAATCAAGGTTCTCTTCCTCACAGCACTTCACGTTTTGCTATAAAAGGCAACAGTTAACAGCATGACATACAAATGTATTATATTGCACAATGACAGTATTTCTCTTTGATACATTTTATTACATTCCCTAATCAGAGGAGAAGTAATACCACTGACTTCATGTTGTCATTGCGTGTTAAAAATAACTTTGTGATGTCGAAGTACAGTACCTGTGTTTGCCCACTGAGAACAGCTTTAAAGGTGATAAAATAAAATCTACGTATCTAAAGTAAATATTTGCTTGTAAAGTTATGTCTCTAAAGATTACATATCTAAAACAAACATCCAGGGAACACTTACCCTCAGTGAACCTCGATACCAAAGATATAAAGATGAATAATAAGAATAACGATGTTTTGGTGCAGTGATGGTACAGTTGCCATAAGAGGATCTTAGGTGTGTAGTTAAGAGCTTCAAAGATCATTAATTAAATTATTTTCAAAAGAGGTTCAAAGCACAGTAAGTACATTCTTTTCTGTACTTTTTTTTTTTTTTTTTTTTT